CCCGGGTCCTCCCTCTTCCCCTTCTTGAAGATGGGGACCACATTTGCTACCTTCCAATCATCTGGCACCTGGCCCAAGCACCACGATCGCTCATAGAGCCGTGCCAGGGGCCCTGCAATAACCCCAGCTAGCTCCCTCAACACCCTGGGGTGGAGAGCATCCGGACCCGCTGACTTGAACGCATCCAGCCCCTCCAGAAGCTCTCTAACCCGGTCCTCCCCAACCTGAGGTCTGAAGGCGATCCCCTCGAGTCCGGCTTATGTTTATGCATCTCAAGACTTGACAGCCAGAATTCCTAAGGGATGGAGAACTTACTATACTTAGATTTGGATCAGATATTCATGGTCAATTTAGCTGTTGTTGTATATCCAATCCCAACTGAGCTCAAGCAAAGAAGTATTTATGGTAGGCACATTTGAGCTGGCAGGCATGCTATGACACTCAGGCTTCTGGAATTATTCATTTAGTGCTCCAGAGATGAAAGAATAAGATTTACTAACCAGAGCGTTTACTATCAAAACAGAAATTTTGAGTTAACACAGGAAGACTGCTAGCCTTTGAAATGAAATGAATTGTTTGTGGTCAGCTGGTGAGACCCCACTGGAAATGAGACACTTGGAAAAAGGCTTGGTCTGAAACAGTTGATGATTCAGCAATGAGGAGGAAGCTCCAGGGCTAAGGACAGACATTCAAAAAGTCTAAGCCTGAATTGATTCAATCTTTGCAGGTTAGTCTAACTTAACTAGGCTAAATCAGTTTGTAAGTGTACAGACATCCCAGATATGCGGGCACATGCCTGCAGTGTCTCAAGCTGGACGCTGCGGGGTGCTAGAGCAGCCGTCCCTTCCCTTGCATAGTATTGAGCTGAGGGGGACATGGCTAGACCCCAGCAGGACACTCTGATTAGCCCAGCAGAGAATTGATAACAGTGTTTATCACCCCGAACTCGGTGTTTATCACCCCATTAAGAAACAACAGAGGGACATTACTAGCTACCTGTTGATTCTGCTTTTGTCCTATCTGCCACAGCATGAACTGTAGCTAGCATGTGGTCTGCTAGCTAATAAACAGACACCTCTCAGCAAGGCAAGAAATCCTGCTTAGCAGGAAGTGGTGAAGGGGGTGGGAGGAGCAGCCTGCAGTCTCTGCCAACCTCCAGCAAGGGAGCAGAGGAGAGAAGCCAACTCTGCTGTAAAGCAGAGAGCCCCACCCAGCCCAGAGAGCATGCCAGGATGCTGGGGGTGTCTGGTTTAACTTAAAATCAGCAAGGGGTCTGGAGACAGACATTGTATAAACCAGTTTGACCCAGATCAGTTAAGCCTGATACTACATTCAACCAGGTTTCTCAGACTGGTTTCAGCCATTTTGAAACTGATTTATGTGTACTAAACATCTGTTCTGTAACAGGTTTAAACCAGTTTCTGATTATCTAAACTGGTTTATGTGTAATGTCTGTCTGTAGCCCAGGTGTTCAGAATGCAACTTATGAATAAAGGATGAAAAGGATGACCATGTTCTTCCAACTGGTAAAGGAAAACATATCAAGAGGAAGTTGTTAGGCAGTGGAGAACTATACTATAGAGATTTGAAGACAGATAATAAGAGATAATAAGATACCACAGTGAAGAGTTAAAAGTACTACACATGAATATTTAGTAGGATCAACAATGGAACAAAGGAAGGAAGAAACCTTTGGTATTATGATAACTTATGAAATCCATAACTTTTTGCCTTTTTATGCACTTCCTTGGCTTGAAAATTGAAATTCAGCTGGCTGCTTTCACTTCCTTTTTATAGTCAGCTTCACATGTGTTTTTCATGCAATAAACTAGAGCTATGCTACAGTGTTTGTACTTACAACTCTGATCTTTTTAAATTAAATATTCCCTTACAAATATCTTGGTTAGGTTTTACATGTTTTTAAAGATATCCTACATTTTAAGTCTACATTATGAAATCTTGATATATACTAATTTTGTATTGTAAAGATTCTGGAAGGCTTTGTTACAGAATTATAAAACTGAATGTTTTGAGAGTTACTAACTTTTGACAAATTGTAATATAGAACAAGTTTTGTTTGCTTGCTACAGTGAATATTCAGCTCTTAACCTCTGTTAAAAATCATACCACTAGTGCACATCATAGCTGGACATTTGTGAGTCATTATATGCTTTGGGTCATTTCCAGCAGATTGGTCATCCCTCAGCACTAGAGAGTTATCATACTTGTAGCATCAATACAGTGAATTCTCACTTATCAAGAATTTACTATAAAGTTATCTTTTAATGTCAGGCTGTCGTAGGCCGAGTCACTGCTTTCCAATGAGAGGGCTAGGCCAGGGGCAGGCAAAATACAGCCCCAGGGGCCATATCCATCCTGCCAACTTATCCTATCTGGCCTGCCAGCTGCTGCCAGGAGCCTGAGAAGGCAGGGCTGAGCCCCACACCACTCTGCTCTGCCACATCCATAAACAGCTCATCAAAACTCATTTAGTGGCCTGTCAGCCCAAATAATTGTCCACTAGGGCTGTGCAAAACACCATCATTTCATTTCGACATCTATTTCACCATTTCAAAAGGACAGTGTTTCATTTTAGCATTTTGTTTAATTTCAAAGCACTATCCCATTTCATTTCATCGAAACAGTTGTGCTGTTTTGACATTTCACCCATAGGCTATAATGGGGAATCATAAAAATGCCTAAAATGTTGTCATTTGTTGCCTGATTTAGATTCAAATTGCAGGGATGGTAGCCCCTTCTGAGGGCATGAAGCTGCCAAGTTTCAAGGAGATAGGTGCAGAGGTTTCTTGGAAACTGCATCTCAAAGTCTTGAAAGCAAAAGTCATGACACTTGCCAACAGCAGCAGCCTCTTGTCATCCAGCATGCAGATCCAGGGGCTCACGCCCCCCCAGAGGGCTGCAGGGCTGTGCCAGATTCCTCCCAGTGGTGTGGGCCCCTGGATCTACACCAAATGACAGAAGGCTGCTGCTGCTGCCTGGGACCAGTGCTGGGCACAGCCTGCACCCATTGCCAGGCTCCATGGAACTCAGTTTGGGGGCAGGAGGTGGACCATGGCCCTGGCTGTGCCCGCCTCCCACCGCTGGGCTGCACTCTGAGCAGCTCCACAGCCCCGTGGAGTTCAGTGGGAGGCAAAGCACAGTGCAGGCTCTCCCTGCCACCCTCTACTGGGCTGTACTCTGTGGGGCTGGCAGGGCCAATCGGACTGTGCTCTGCCTCCTGCCGCCAAGCTGAGATCCATGGGGCTGGTGGAGCCAATTGGAGTGCAGCCTGGCAGTGGGAGGTGGGCAGAGCCAGGGCTGTGCTCCAATCGACTCTGCCTGCCCTGTGCAGCACAGCCCAGCATCAGGAGGCAGGCAGAGCTGGGGCTGTGTTCTGCCTCCAGAAGCCGGGCTGAGCTCCACGGGGCTGGCAAAGCCAATGAGAGCACAGCTCAGCGGCAAGAGGTAGGCAGAGCCAGGACTACACTCTGATTAGCTCTGCCAGCCCCATGGAGCGCAGCCCAGCAGTGGAAGGTGGGGAGAGTCGGGGCTGCGCTCCCTGCCAGGCTGAGCTACATGGGGCTGTGGAGCCACTCAGAGCACAGCCTTGGCTCTCCCCCAACTCTCACCACCAGGCTGCTTCGAAACTGGAAACGTTTAGAAACTTTTGATACATTTCAAGTGCGCTCATTCAGTTTCAAAGCTGTTTCAATGCTTTGTTTCATTTCGATTTCGCTGTTTTGAGCTCAAAACATGTTGAAACAGCTTTGAAATTAAGACTGAATTAATCAACCTATGATTTTATTCTGTTCTGTGGTTTTTCAGATAAGGTTTGTAGGTATATAAAACCATAAGCAAGCAAAATTTGGTACTTAAGTATAAACATCTGAACAAATCAATAGTCTTTTCAGACAGGAGGAGAGAAAATCTGGAATCTCAATAATAAGGTAAGTGAGGTGATATGGATACAGTACCTGAAGGACAGACATCAGTTTATAGCTGCACAATAATCCACACAGCAGAACCCAGGAATGGGATCTTTAGTTCTATAGCAAAAGATACAAATGATACAATCACATATAGCTATCTTGCTCACATATACCTTACAGCTGTCTTGAGAGTGATGGACAGTTAGTGCTAATGTGCTTCCAGACTGACATTTGTATTTGTTCTCTGCCTCTAACCCCTTTTAGTGGGAACTAGGGCTGGGACAAAGGGTAAATCTTGGATGTTGATGGTTAAACTGTAGTTAGATTTCATATGGGATAATTTCCTGCTATGGCTTAATTTGCTGCCAGTCCCATGTCACTCTTGTTATTTTACTGCCATTTAACAATTCCTGATAATAGAAGCTTGCCTTTTGCAAACTTGGTAAAAATAGAATTGATCCCCTGTAGAAGAAGACTTGATGCTGAACAGCATCCTGCATGTGTGATGTGTTGAGCTCAACCTTAAAGAGTTTTTATTTCTGACTTAGAAAGAGACCATTTTTATGGATATTGTTGCCTTGACAATAGACGAAGCACAGGAACTTGTGAATGTTCCAGGGTTCCCTATATGAAATTTGAACAGTTCATAACACATTCTAAAGTTTTAAAAGGTAGAAGTACTATAAAGAGGAAAATTAATGCGGGATAGCCATTTTGAGGGTTTAAAAAGTGTATTGGATTTACAATAGTGCTGATATTTTCAGTGTAAGGGTCTGATCCTGCAACCATTCTTGAGGGCAGTGGTCACTACCAGAAAAAGTAGATTCTGAATTAGAACTCACATAAACTGCTTGCCTAAAGCACTAAATTTGTTTCTTTATACTATGGTTTGTTGCTATTTTAAATAGTCCTGCTGGTATATATTTGCCATTAGGTTCAAAATGCATGGAGAATAGCTGGTAACAGTTAGGCAGAAATTAAGTTGAGAACACAGATGGCATATCTGAGTGTGTTTTGGACTACTTCAGTACTCTAATTACCAACAGTAACAATAAAATACTATTTATCTCTTTCACTCAATTATTATGTAATATGCTTAGTAAATTCTACATCCTGTGAAACAACTGAAGCATAAATTTATACCCTCAGTGGACTTATTGAAAATAATTATGTATGTACAAACCTCACCATTATAAAGTTAATTGGTCTCTGTGACAGAGTGGTCTGTCACCTTAAAAAGGGACAGCCAGCCCTGTTAAGGATGTTCACCTGTGGGGCATTCTGATAATGAGGGAACGTCCCACTGGGAACTTTAAATGCTCTCAGGAAAGAAAGCAGAGGAGGAAAGCCAGTTTGAAAAGTGGCTCTTCTCCTAGTGTCTGGAGAAAACAGAATTTGGTTTGTTTTGTTGTAGATTGAAGCTTGTGTTGTAGAGAATAAAACTACCTGAGAAATTAATGAAGGTGTTAACTCTCCTGCAATAGGGAGCAGGATAAGTGACTTATTTCCATTCTCTTTCTCATTGCCTAAAATATACCCTCTGTATAATGGTGTAAAAATACTACACATAGTGGTGGCAATTCAGGCCTATTGAGGCTAAGAGGATATTATTCACTTCTATTTATAAAACCACCGGAAGACACCAGTGTGATCAGTTCTCTGTTATACAAATGCATAGTAAAGGTCAGGGCTAGATTTAAAAAAAAAGATATTTAGGTACTAAGGCAGAAAAGCCTAGTAGGATTTTCAAAAGTGCATAGCTCCTAACTTTCAGTAAATACTTCTGTATCTACTCTACTCCCTGCTTCAAAGGCATTTGGATCCAAATTAAGACAAGGTGCAATAAGTAAGCATAAAAACAAAGTAAGTGGAGGTAGCTGGAAATGCCAAAAGTAACAGTGACAGAAAAATGATGGAGTGTACATTTCCATTTATCACAGTACATTACTTTAAGGATTATATGCCATTTATCACAATATATTACTTCAAGGATTTTAAACATATAAATCAATGTTAACTCTAAGAACAGATCCAACTGATATAGGATCAGTTTTTAGTAACTAGCACAATTCTAGACTCCGTCATTGTTGCTCTAGATTTCTTGTTTCTTGTCTGTAGAATGAGCCAGATGAATTGGAGGTTCAGTAATTGAATACTCCCCACCACCACAGTTGGAAAGGCCTGCTGTGTTGCTTGGCAGTCTGATAGAGGCTAGACATTGAATGGTCTAGAAACTTGTCCTGCCAAGCCAGGATTGATGCAAATTAACCAGGCAGTGGGAGACTGTTCCATTTCAAAGGATCTGACCTGCTTTGAAAACAAAAGGGGCATTAATTTACTACTAAGCGCAGTAGTAAACTACAACTGATTAAAAAAGGGGGGCATTTAAGAAAACCTCTAGTCAAAAGTGAACTCCTCTAGTTCATTTCTTCTTGACAAGAAAACCTCTAGTTCATTCCTTGTTGACAAGAATTTTTTAGATTAACAGTTTGTCATAAAATAGCAATTGCTTGAAATGAAAAGTTCACACAGGACCATGCCAGCTTCAACAGATCATCTGTCAGCCACAACTCGGGGTTCTGCTTTTTCTTTTAATGAACTACAGATTGTTACTAATATCTTAAAAACAAAATTAATCCCCATTAAATTAGTGCTGCTGGAGGCATGGCCAGAAAAGTTGCTACAGAGTGACAGGAGGAACTCCTAATATTAAATGCACCACTGGACTGGAGAGTTAAACTTGCCTTTTGCATGGCAGCAATATAAACTAGTGTTTCCCCTGTGACTACAGGCTGTGTAATAGATTTGCCTTTCTTTGAATTTGTTCTTTCCTTGCAGAGGACAAGCTGGAACAGCAGCATTCCCTGTTTACACGGTACAAGGACCCATGCAGACTTGGTCCTGGGGAGGAAAAACCATGGGCAATCGGTAAGGCTTTTGTCCTATCAGTGGTGAACCTATTTTAACCTTCGTTGCAATGCAGCACCTGTGTATGGTAGCATGTGGCACATCAAATGGATGCTAGCAATAATTTAGTAGCAATTAAATATGTACAAGCTGCAGTTTTCAGTTACTATCTCTAACAACGTATATATAAGCATAAATTCATAAATTGTAAGGCCAGAAGGGACCTCGGAAGATCATCAGGTTCAGCCCCATGTACCAAGCAGGAAAGATAACTGGGGGTCAGGTGACCCCAGCAAGGTGACTGTCTAGTCTCCTCTTGAAGATTTCCAGGGTAGGTGATTGTACCACCTCTGGAGGGAGCTTTTTTCAGTCTGGACACCCTGACTGTGAAGAAGTTTTTGCTAATGTTGAGCCTGAATCAATCTTTGAGGAGTTTGTGGTCATTACTCCTGGTTTTCCACTTGGGTGCCCTGGTGAACAGTTGCTCACTGAGCCCTTGATGTACTCCCCTAGTGTAGTGGTAAGTTGCTACCAGATCCCCTCTCAGCTTTCTTTTCCTCGGGCTGGAGAGTCCCAGATCCCTCAGCCTTTCCTTGTATGGCTTGCCTTTTTAAGGCTCTGATTATATGGGTGGCTCTTCTTTGGACTCTCTTAAGCTTGTCCATGTCTTTGTTAAAGTGTGGTGCCCAGAACTGGATGCAGCACTCCAGCTACACTCTCACCAATGCTGAGTAGAGCGGAAGAATCACCTCCTTGGTTTTGCATCGATTGATACATGCCAGAGTATTATTTGCCTTACTGGCTACAGCATCGCACTGCTGGCTCATACTCATACTGTGGTCTATTATTACCCCCAGGTCCCTTTCATTCGTGGTGCTAGTCAGTTTAGTGCCTCCAAGCCAGTAGATGTGTTGGGGGTTGCTTGTCCTGACGTGGAGCACTTTACATTTCTCAAAGTTGAACTTCATCAGGTTCCAATCCACCCAACTTGCTAGCCTATCTAGGTCTGCCTGTATCTGTTGCCTATCTTCAAGCGTGACCACACTCCCCCATAACTTGGTGTCATCCACGAACTTGGCCAATGAGCTCTTCAACCCCACATCCAAATCATTAATATGGATGTTGAGAAGTACTGGACCAATCGCCAATCCCTGGGGGACACTGCTGCCCACTTCATGCCAGGATGATACAGATCTGTTCACGACGACTCTCTGGGTCCTATCCTGCAGCCAGTTTCTCACCCACCTGACTATCTCAGAGTTAAGTCCACAATCCTCCAATTTTCTCACAAGGACATCATGGAATACTAGATCAAAGACCTTCTGGAAGTCTAGATATACAATGTCAACCTGCTCTCTTGTGTCCAGGTGGTGAGTTACCTGGTCATAGAAGATGAGGCAAGACCTGCCCATGACAAAGCCATGCTGGCTGTCATTCAGAAACTTACCTTCTGCAAGCTTATCACAAATAGACTCCTTGATGAACTTTTCTAGGCTTTTCCCTAGGATGGCAATTAGGCTGATTGGCCTATAGTTACCTGGATCCTCCCTCCTGCCTTTCTTGTGGATGGGCACAACATTGGCCCTCTTCCAGTCCTCAGGGACTTCTCCAAAGAACCATGAGTTCTGGAAAAGTTTCACCAGGGGTTTTGCAATGACTTTGGCCAGCTCCTTCAGCACTCTTAGATGAAGATCATCCAGTCCCGCTGACTTGTATACATCCAATTTTATTAATTGTCCATACAACAATTCTACAGCAATAGTAGGAAGGTGATTATTCCTACCATACTCGTCCTCTAATCTATCTAGCATGGTTTTCCTCTTGGTCTAGTGAAAAACTGAGGGAAAGAAGTCATTCAGGAGTTCAGCTTTCTTCTGGGTAACCAGCTCTCCTGAGTTGCTGAGTAATGGTCCCACACTCCCATTTGTTTTCCTCCTGTTCCCTATGTAGCTAAGGAAGGACTTCTTGTTGTCCTTGATTCCCATTGCTAATCTAAGTTTGGTCACCACTCTAGCCTGTCTTATCTGTTCCCTGCAAATTCAGGCCATCGTGGAATAGTCCTCCTTGGGGCCCGCCTCAAGCTTCCATTGTTTATAAGCCTCTTTCTTCTTTCTTAAGAGGACCATGATTTCCCTGTTTAGCCAAGAGGGCTTCCCAGCCCTTCTGTTATCTTTTCTCCCCCATGGGAATGGACTTCCTTTGTGTTTCAAGGATCATGTCCTTAAGGAACAACCACTCTTCATGCACATCTTTCACCTTCGGTCCCTGGTCCTGCAGCACTTACCCTACTAGTGACCTCACCTTGTCGAAATTTGCTTTTTTGAAGTCCAAGACTTCAATCCTGTTATCTGATTTGTTTGCCCTATGTCAGACAGTGAACATGATGGTTTCGTGGTCACTGTTGCCCAGACTTCCCTCTATATTTAAGTTGGTCACCAGATCATCTCCTTTGTCCAGGACCAAATCCAGCAGAGCATCACCTCTGGTTGGCCCATGCACCTCCTGAGTCAGGAAGACCTCCTTGACACAGGTCAGGAAGGATCATGACCGATCCAACTTGACCAAGTGTTCCTCCCCAGAGATGTCTGGATAATTAAAATCGCCCATGACAACTATGTCACATGCACGTGCGGCCTCAGTCAATTCTTGGGTGAACTCCAGATTGAGTTCCTCCCCCTGCTTTGGTGGTCTGTAGTATACACCTACAGTTAGGTAACTCTCATTGCGCGCCCCCTGCAACTTGACCCACAGGGTTTCAAGTTGCCCATTTTGGGAGCTGATATCAGCCTCCAAGGAGGTATACTGCTCTTTCACATAGGGAGCAATGACTCCACATTTCTTCCCTACCTGGTCGCTTCTATGCAGGGTGTAGCTCTCTATAGCTACACTCCAGTCATGTGAGGCGTCCCAGCAGGTCTCCATAATCCCTACTGGGTCATAATGCACACTGGAGAATAGGAGGGCTAACTCCTCCTGCTTGTTCCCCATGTTCCTGACATTAGTATATAGGCACCCGAGTCCTCCTACTGAGGCCCCCATTTTCCTGTCTCAGTGATGGGGAAACTATTCCCTCAGCTCCCACAAAAGTGGCTCTCCCAGTGTCCCTATATACAGGGCTTACTTGTATGTTGGTCCCAGGACATGTTTGAATTTGTGTATCCCTGTCCCCCAGCAATCTTATTTTAAAGCCCTGTCCAGAAGATCAGCATCCTGGCTGCGAACAGGGACTTACCTTTCCTTGTGAGGTGGATGCCATCCCTTCCCAGGAGTCCTCTCCCCCTGAAGTGCGTGCCGTGGTCAAGGAATCCAAAGCCTTTTCAGTGGCACTAGCATCAGACGCACTGGTTCACTTCCTCAATTCATCCTCCCCTTCTGGGACCATGGCCTGAAACAGGGAGCACAGAAATAAAGACTACCTGGGCCCCTGACCCCTTGAGCCCAGCCCCCAGAGTCCTATAGTTGCTCATGACCTGGTCTGGATTACTCCTGGCCATGTCATTAGTTCCCACATGGATGAGGAGCATGGGGTAGTAGTCAGAGGGCTGGATGAGCCTGGGGATCCTCTCCACTACATCTCAGATACGAGCCCCTGGGAGGCAGCAGACCTCATGGGCTAGGGGGTTTGGCCGGCAGATGGGTCCCTCACTGCCTTGCTGGAGAAAGTCCCTGACCACCACCACCTTACACCTCCTCTTGGCAGTGGTAGCAAGCAGCTTACCCTCCTCCTCTTCCGGTGTTACCCCAGAGCCCTTTAGTCTCTCATGACCTGGTCTGGATTACTCCTGGCCATGTCATTAGTTTCCACATAGATGAGGAGCATGGGGTAGTAGTCAGAGGGCTAGACAAGCCATCCTCCTCTTCCGGCCACCTCACATGGGAAGGGGAGCGTACCTGTTGTGCAGGGCCAGGGAGGAGCTGCCCTGGCCCTGTGTTTCCCAGAACGTGAGGTGACTGTCTTCCAGGTTGCTCTGGGTAAACCCCAACATTTCTTAACTGGATTAGAAAGGACAAGGCTTACAGCCCCTGAAGAGAGGACAGATATTTCATTAAACCCATATATCACCTTACCCTAGTCCAAAAGCAACTGCAAAGTGAGTTTAAAATGATATCGCCTTTAATGCACTTTGATTCACGCCTGTATGCTATCTTTGTACTTCCATAAATAACTACACAAGGTGCAAGCAGCAGTATGTATGCTGATTCAGTCACTTGTTCCTTTCTGTTCACAGGTACTTTGCTAGATCCTGAAGGATTATATGATGATGAAGTGTGCACTCCAGATAATCTACAGAAGTATGCACCCTCTCTCTCTCTTTCATCATTTAGTCAATTCCCTGTGGTTTCCAATTCTGGTTTAGTCCAGTGATTGTCAGTCTTTTTAGACTTAAGCCACCCACTGGAAAATGCTAGCTTTTAACTTTCACTCATATCTTAACTACAGAAAAATAACAGAGCAATTATTTCAAAGAACTTAGGAAAAACCACAATAGGTTGGCATGTTTTGACACTATGGATTCCTATTTGGAATCTCTGATTTTATCTTGTGAAACTTGTATAGATGTTTGCACACCTAGTATTGTGCAGCCCCCCATTGGACCCTTAAAGGGATCTCAAGGTACCCCATGGTGCGATGGCCTGGCTGAGAATCACTGTCTACTCTACTTACTATTTGACATTTTAATCCATGATACAAGTGGTTTAAAATGACTGTCTTAATGGCTATTTAGTCCAGTGCAGGGTGGGACAAGTGTCTGTTTTTCAAGCCCCACTGAACATATTATTTGACAGAAGTGGCAAAGGGATCAAGAATGTAATTTGTTTTGGAAGCTTTACTTCTTTTGCATTCTTATAGATGGTGCCTGCTGACCTGTGTGGGCTAACAGGCACACTTCACAATGCTGCCAAACTGGGCATAACACAACTTGTTTGAGGTCCTTGCTGCAGCTAGCCAACCCAGCAGTTTTTGCTCTAGCAGTGAAGCAGCTAGTTGAATAAAATAAGAACTCAAGCCAGGCAAAATCTGTAAATTTTGGAAATCTATATATAACTAAAAGTGCTGTCATAACCCTTCTAAGCTCCCATAAAGCAAGCAACAAATATAGGGTAAAAAATGAATGTCCCATCAGACATGCCAAGAAAAAATAGGTGAATATCAGGTACACACCCGTTCTTGCTTCTATTACAGCATATTTTCACAGTGTGTTTGATAATGAGAAATAAAACTTTAAATCTTATATGCGTCTCCTAATTGCTACAGAATATGCAAAAGACCACTTACTGAAGGAGAAACATGCTTGAGGAAGCTAGATAACATGATGACATCTTAGTACATCTTAGTGTAATATTCAAAAGATTTGCTAGTCCTCCTGAAATCTTGTTTTTTTACTGATAGCTGGTTTAGTAAACCAAATAAGTCATACTAATGACTGTGGCAGGGTATTCTGGGTCAAACTGATGAATAGTATCAAAACATTCAATTAACTAATTTTCTGTCTACCTGAAATCCTGTTGAAAGGAAAAATAATTATGGCATGTTTATATGGGACAATCCGTGTGTGTGTGTATATGTATGTATGTATGTAGCTAGCTCTGGTACTAGGAATTGCATTAGTTTAGTGTTCTTCCTGGGCTACTCATACACATTCACCTTGATTTGAGATTTGATTGTTCAAAGCCTATACAGATTTTGAAGATCAAATCTATATCTGGCTACTATGCAACAATCTACAAATCATAACTTGTTCTAACATCCTATTATTCATAATCTTGAACTGTTCAGTCAGAAGCAATATTAAGGGCAAACTTCAACAGACCTGCAAAAACTGTCCACAGTTGTAGACATATACTTGTAAGTAAAAAATGTGATGCTGCAATGCAAATAATGCATCTGTACAAAAAAAAGAGGGTGAAATTCACCAGCACAGCCAAATTTGCAAATGTCAGTACAAGGCTTTGTCTAGCCTGGTCTTAAAAACCTCAGAGGCAACTCTTAAAACCCTTGACCACCTATCTGGCTAACCTGTTCCAGTGCTAAATCTTCCTAATATCTAACCTAACCTAATAAAATAAAATAATTGAAAAAGTCTTCAATGTTACTGAAAGATTAAATTCCAGACTTCCTATCTGCCTGGATGGGTTTTCAGGACTCTCCACTCCCCTAGAGTGCTCAGCAGTTTCTTCAGTCTGGTCCTCAGTCTGAGAGAGAAATATAACATCCTGAGTTTTGCTGCCAAGGTTTATAACTGCATTTATTTTTAACTTTTAAAATCCACATTCCAGTAATAATTTGTTATTTAAGACTTCTATTTTACAAAGGCATTTTAATTAATTTCTCTAAAGCTGATTCAAACCTGATGTACTGATAAGTGGCTAGATCATCTAAAATTGTATCCTAAGCATGAAGAGGGAATGATACTTCTAGCTGCCCAAATTATATCATTAATTTAAATGGCAAACAAGGTCGAGTTTAAAATAGATCCTTGCAGGAATCCTTCAGTAAAATTTGGCAGAGATATGAAACCATCCAATTTAAAATGCATTTTATGTTGGCTTTAATAGTTTTGGAAAGCGCTCAGATTATCAGACCTCTATCACCACTAATTTCCTGCAATTTATTAATAAAATTAAACAGTTCACATTTGTTATCTGATTTAGATGAATCAATTAATGTAACAGTGTAGAAATGCCCTTTGTTAAAAAGATAAACTTCTTTCATTCTAGGTACAGCAAGCTTAAATTTTAAACTGATCAGGAGCATATGCTTAGTGCAAATCAGGAACTTTGTGGAAATTTGGAATCTACTAACTAATCTGTCCATAAATCTGGAACAGGTTAACAAAGTGGATATAGACCTATTACATAATAGACCCAACCTTGGAACAGTGTAAGTTACACAAACTTAAAATCTGAATGGATATTAGCTGTGAGACTGAGCTGATAACTCATGATAAAAAACTTACCTTGAATGTGAAATTTGCTGTGGAGCAGGAGGCTGTTTGAATCCTGAAGAAAGGCTGCACCAGGGCAGAATATCTGCTGGCTCTGCAGAAGTACTGGATATGTATATGAAGACCAAATCTCCTTACACAGCATAAAAGGATGCATGAGGAAGAAGCCAAGAGACAGGATTCAGTTCCATGTTTATGTAGATTCCATGACCCCGGTCTCCAGCATTCTGTAGGTGGAAAGGCTTTGGCCTACGATTGAGGCCAGATGTTATAATAATATCAGGTGGGGTATTGGGACGCCTGAAAGAGTAGACCTACATTCATTTTCTGATTTGTGGGATGACTCACCCAAACTTTGTGTTGAAAGGTTAAATGTCACCAGTTACAGCTCCCTAACCTCCATGAGTACATCTACACATACAATTATTGTGAAAAAAAATCTACATGTGTACAGCATCTACATGCGTACAGCAAATTGAGCCAGACCCAGCTGGCTAGGCTGACAGGGTGCAATTTATGCCCCCAATTACTATCTACACATGTGTTTCAGCACAATAAAGTACTGTGCTCTAGGATAGTACTATCCCTGACACTACTATCCTACGGTAGAGTTAGTTTACTAAGCCCTAATGCCAGTGCACATGTAAATGGTGATACTTTACTGTGGAGCTAATTAGTCTACATTAAAATGCATATGTAGATGTACCCCATGTGTCGTTATGTGCTAGTGTTCAGCACAAAAAATCTGATCACTATTAGAAATGATTTTGGTTGATTACCTGGGTTGATTGCTCATACAAAGTTCTCTGATACGTGTAAATCTAAACCTTAATGTGACAGGTAGCAATTAAAACTCCTTTTTCATGAGCACTTGTGTAGGTAACTCACTCAATGAAATGATCACAAAAAGTAAATATAAAAGGGTTGCAAGTATGACTGAAGCACATCTATCTTTTTACTGAAAGATACAACATAGAGAATTTTCGGTATTGGTCCAGCCCTGCTCAAGTGTTTGCTTTAACAAAGTAAACATTGGCAGCTTACTTTCAGGAATGATCCATTTTATCACAACCAGATTGTTTTCTTGAATCTAAAAGAGAATTTCACAAATAGCGTAGTTTTCAGAGCTGGCTATAAAACAAACAGTTTGATTTACCATATTACAGATTGAGAATGCTTGAATAAATTAACATAATTTATTAGATGATCGTTCAAATTTGAAATAACACAGATGAATGAAAATTTCCCTTTGTGAGCTGGGTATTAAGTTTAGGACTTCAATGATGATCAGAACCTTGATTCTTAAATTAATCAGAAGCCTTCATTTGCCACAGACTTATAACCTGCCATAGCTTTTTGTTACAGTTTTTATCTTTCAAAGGTTGGTAAAGCGCTGCTTATAAGAATCAAGTGTAATAAGTTGCATCATTTGCATTTATTCCTAATTTGCCAAAAAATTAATGTTTCCTGTTAGTGTTGTAATACTTGCCTTTTTCCAGTTCAGAACCTTCTACAGTAGGGGATGTTGAGAAATGGTGAAACCAGGGGATGGTTTTCACTCTCAAACATTTCAAACAGGTCTGGTGTCTCTCATCTAACACACACATGCCCATATACACACACAGGAGAATTACTGATGATGTCACCCTTTCAAAATCATTTAAAAATGTCAGGTAATCAGGTCATGTCTTATTTTTTTCCAAGGTAAACTTAAAGGCTTTGTACCTGCTAGGACCCAAGTTCATGGCTCAGTGTTTCTCCTGCGACAGTTGATGATGTAGCTTAATGATGTAATCAACTCTTACAAGGGAAACCACAAAACCCTGAGCTCAGGTTCTGGCAGGTAAGTAGAGGAAATGATTTTCAACTATTCTGTTTTGAAAATCATTTGTTGGTACATTTGGGGCCAAATTTTCAGAAGAATCAATGCACAGTGTACACATTTGCATGCCTAAGTTACATGCAATATTACTATTGCTGCATTTGCTAATAAGCACTTGTAAGTCTGATGTCCTGCACGTGCAGTTGCTGCAGCAGTATGTGCAAATGCATGTACAAAATGTGCACACATTGTTGCTTGCACAACTGTGCATGACTTTTTTCCACAATTACAGAATAGAGCCCATTACGTTTACACATGTATTATTAATAATTTTAATTTTGTATTTATTTTTAACAGAACTCCTTGAGCACAAGTTTATCCCTTAATAGGATATAAGAAAGTAAATCAGTGCTACTTCCATGTCTGATGGTTTTTACTTTTGCAATGTAGTCAAGATATATATAATTGACCAGACTAGTACAGAGGTGATTTGTAAAAGTTAAATTAGGAGAGGAGTGGTGTATTGGCCCTAGTGCAACACTGGGCATTAGAAACTCAAATTCTAATCTTAATTATCACCAGATATGACAGCAGCTAGCATGACTAAGGACCTGTTACACCTTGTGCTGTAAGCCAGACAAATGTTGATCACCTTAGTGCTAGATTGGAGTTTGGAGCAGTCACACCTTAAGGCTAAAAACATTCTGACTGTCCCACTTGCACAGCTGTGACTTGCCACTAGAGGCCTGGTGAGCAGGGCTGGTGAGCCAGGACAAGATCTTATCCCTGCTGTCTGGGCAGGGGTGTGAGAGATGGGTTGAGAGGGGTGGGGGCAGGAACATGCAACTACCAATATCACCTGCCTCCCCTGGAGCCTGGTGCAGGCAGTATGCTGGTGGCTCCCCGTGATGAGGCATTGCCTTCCCCTCATCCTTCTCTCCCCTCCCCTCCCCACCATCACTACCGCCACTGCTAAATGCTCCCAGCAGCCATGGGAGGAAACCAGCAGGGCAGTGCAGTGCATTTCTCCTGGGTGAGGCAACAATGGAGCAGTCAGTGCCTCCCTGGGCCAGGTAGCAGAGCCAGTGCCACAGCCCCCCCCCCTGCACAGTGCCCTCTGCAAACTTGGCACCATCTCACACAATTTTCCTCTTTCTCTTGTGCTGGCTCATGCTCTGGCTGCCCTGCAGCAGCATCCTCATGCACCAGTTCCAGTTTTCCATGCCTCACTCCCTGCCGGCTCCAACTTACCTCAAGCTGTCACCATCTTCAGCTGAGAACTGAAACACTATGTGGGGAAGGGTCCACTGCATCCTAGGATACTGGAGGACTTCAGCTTGAGTGCCACAGCTGTGGGGAGTGAACGCACTTTAATAGAACAGGAGCAAGGTTATGCAGATCACAGAGAATCCTGCCCTAAAGTGTAACTTTGAACCACATTATGAGTGCTTTAAGCCAGTTAAAAGTGTTGAGCTGGTTAAAACCCAGTCTAGGAGTTAAGAGGTCCAGGAGCCACCTAAAATTACCATGTAACAAGGCCCTAAAGTCCAGCAGGAATTATACCTACCTACTTTAAAGGGGTGTAGTAAGGACTTTTTAACCTCTGTATATTGCCATATGAGAATAAATCAAATCTTTTTTTAACTAGTATTTAGTTTGAGTTTAGATTAAATGTAATTGTTTCAGTAATACTCTGTCAAATACATAGATTCAAACTGATAAACCAGTTTATGATACTGTTCAGGGATCCTATGCAAAACATTCCTATCCAAATTCAAGTGATTTAGAAAGGCATTACACTGAGATACATTTGTCCACTCTGATCAAAGCACAGAAGTCTATTCTAAAGTAATCTGCAAGACTTAGTTTCCTGTACTGGTAGCTGTATAAATATTAAGTTTCAATGAGGAAAGACTGATGCAATACACTGCAGGTTTCAGGAGCAAAATCCACTTCCTAAAGCTATAGGATTCATCTTGACCCAGAAAATTCTGCTTTCCATGGTACTGACTTTGGGCACTGACCGACATGGACAGAACTTAATGCACACATTAAGAGACTCACTTTCAGAATGTAAGAGCAGAGTTTTTGCACTTAAGTCATCTGCAAATTACTACACCCTTCCACAGAAAAAATATATAGCTGGAAAAAGGGATTTTGGACCACAACTGATTATACTGTAAATCCTCTCAGCAGGGACCAGCTGTTATTTTGTGTTTATCAATACCCAGCACAAATGAGTACCCATGGGCCCTGTCGTAATACAAAAGATGGTACCTTGTCATACACATTGGAATAGAACTGGAAGACCTTTAATAGGCCTGTGTTTTTTGTAAAACAGGGTGCTAGAAAATGAAGAAGGAAGGAAAGGGTACCTAGTCTATCCCACCAGCAAGAACCATAGTTCAAGTCAAAAGGGGAGGAAGTCATCGCTAAAAGGCAACGGGAGAAGGATTGACTACATGCTTTACACAGAAGAGGGTCTCTATCTGGAATGGAAAGTGGTGAGTTTTACAATAAAATAAACTGTAACTCAGTGTGAAATGCTTGGACAGTACATCAGCTCCTATGGGTTTCCTGAGAGGAGTTAATTTGAATTCAAGTTTCTAAAGGGTCTTTAAAGGAAGTCCATCATTCAGACCCTTTTTGCTGGTATTACCTGACTTCTTCTGGATTCTGGGACTTCTGGAGTGAGAAAGGAGTGACTTTTGTAGGTATAGGAGTGATTTACCAGCTTCTCAGCTGTACAAGCAATATCAGATCATGTTTGATCATACTTCTATGAACATAAGCTGAGGATCAGGAATGCATAAAACCTCAAAAACAGGCTTAGCTGAAAGGAGTTTGATGCCCAATTCCATATTTTACATAGCACTAGTGAGTGTGTGATCTAATATCTTTTAATATATTTGTGTAGTAACTAGCAATTGGTTGGGGACTCCAGGTAATCAACTTGTTACTAACTGCTGTAATACAGGTCATGTCCTTAAATTTATCAGAAATAATTATTGTGGGTCAGAAGCTTTTCATCCTTACATCTACTAGCATTCTTATCTTTTATGTGATGGTCTCTGAACTTTTCTTAAAACTTTGTAGTTTATCCTTTTTGAATTAACAGATGATGATGACAAAAAAAATCTTTTCATACAACCTTCATCTAGTACAGGGCTTCCCAAATTTTTAAGTGGCTGCTGCCCGGCAAACCACGGCCCAGCAGTCACAGCCGACCACGGCCAGAATTTCTGGCCAGCAGACAGGTAAGGATACCCCCACCCCTCATACGGGAGGATGGTCCAAACCCTGTGCTACCATGGGCCCCTGTGAAAGGAGCCTCTCCACCTGGCTCTGGGGGGCCACGGTTTGCTGGTCCACAGCCACTTCCAGTCCAGCAGCTGACCATGCTGTGGACCAGCAGGCAAACCATGGCCTGAGATTGAGAACCCCTGATCTAGAAGATCCTTAAAAGGGTTTTATTTTATTCTAAATAAACCTTCACCATAATCCTATATTATAGACAGAGTTGGTAACACTGTCCATGCATAACATTGCCTGACACTGCTCACTGTAGGACCACCAAAAAGGCAAGGTCCTGTGTAAAAAGAAGTCTGTGAAAATGTAAGGGCTCTATGTATGCATGTGCATGGGGAGGGCAAATTAATTGTGCCCAGGCATCCTTCATTCTGACATTTTCTAATTTTTGAATGCTTAACTTTGTAACCTGAGGGTTTTTTAATGCGTGTATATAGTTATATAATAGGTGATACAGTTAGAACAAGGGTAGGGAAAATTACTTTTAAGTATTAAGAAGTATCTATACAACTGTTTCTGTGAGAAGCTCCACAGGAGATGGAACAAGAGAGTGGTGTTATGTAAAGGATATTTCATTTTCTGCACCCAAAGAAACCTATTTAAGATTGTCTTCTAAGCAGAGAGGTTAGTTTGATAGCTAAATTTGCTGAAGTACCATGTGCACTGGACATGCTCCATCCTGGAATTGAACAGAAGTTTCCTTACCCTTGTTCATCTGACTGATGTAGACTGGGATATAGGGAGGTTGAGGAGCTGGACCCAAAGGAATAAGTAGGTGCTTGACTAGAAGGAGGACTGGGACTAGAGCAGGCTAGCAGGCTAGAGGGATCTGTTTAAAAAAAAAAGACAACATTCCCTTCAGTACCTAGGTTGCAACCAGAATGCCTGAATCTTCATGTTCTTCTCCTGCCAACAAATATCTATGAAACCAATTGTCAAAACAAGTGCCTTACCTCCCTCTGATAGCTCACAACTTGACACCACCTTCTCTGTTAGCTTGAGTGGCGGAGGTTCCAACATTTCTAAACTCACTTATAGCAATATGGTTGCACATGATGAAATATGGATTTCTCTCTTTTTTTTTCTTTTTAGTTTTTTTCCCCCTAAGGATAAAGGAAATGACAGTAGATTTAGGGAATGCCAAAATTAAGCTTGCATGTATAAGCTTAACTTGTCTGCCTTATACATATTCATTATGGTATGTTCTAACACATGATTGCGTAATGTTTCTACCCCATGGGATAGAATGGGCAGCATTCA